CCTTTCTAAGGGATTGTACATGCACGCAACAGCTGGGAGAACAGCTGCAGCTGCCTGACATGAATATCACAAATATATCATTCCTAGCTTAACCCACTTTAGATTGGAATCTCTAAGGTCATGGTAGTTCTTCTACTTACATTTATATGTCGTCGCACAAATGTGCTGCACTGGATACGCGAGTTATTGAAGCACGGCAATTGGCGGAATAACATTCCAGAATCAAATTAACGTGTCTTTGTTGTTGCAATTCTTCATGGCTCAAGACAGACGCACTACTCTATGTCCATTATTAGTTTTGAGATCATGAACATGTAGAAGTCAATTGGGGATTCAAGATGTATGATAACTTTTTATGTCCTGAGAGACATTGTAAAAATAACCAAACGTTCCACTATCAGTAGATATCACTAGTGCAAAAGGGAGATAAAAATAGGTATACTTGTCTCACAAAAATTTTACATCAAAGGTATTTTTGCTAGGTAATTTATTGCTCTATAATCCATCCCCAAAACTTTCCGATTACTGTCAATTTATTCTTCTTGGAAAAACGTAATTCTTTGATTGTAATGAGTATAGTGCTACATTACCTTTATAAGATCTCAATACACTAGCAATCCCACTCTCTCTATCGAATGTCTGCGGTGCAGTCAAAGTTGTACATACCCCATTCATTCCTCAATAAGAAAAAAGCAGTCGTTTCAGCAAGTCCTTCAGAATGGCATTTGTTTCAAATAAAGCACGAAGTTAGAGTAGCTGCTAGATAGCACAACTAGAAGGGGTATTGCATTGCAGGAACTTTTGAAAGAACAATTTTTTGTTAGGAGCTGTTGGAAAAGTGTATGGGCGATGCTACTTTACAAAATGACAGAAAAATACTATATTCTTAATTGAGCGTATCTTATTATTTATTACTCGGCGCATTTTGCGCCGATCCTGCGAATGAAGATTTTGAATTTTTTTCTTTCTTATTTCACTCCAAAACACGTTTGAATAGCTCGGGAATAGTAGGTCTTGCCAAGGTTTGGTACAATATATTCAAACGTGAAGCACCTCCGTAGATCGCACCAAAAAATCGCCGTGTTGCGAGAGTATTGAGGGGATGTCTTGTCTTGGCAAGTATCCATGGTAGTAAGACTGTGAAGCGATCCATGGATCGATTTTGTTCTAGAATCAGCTAATATCTTTTCGAAGTAAAAAAAGTATTTTCATTGTTACCTGTGTAACTGGACCATCCGAAGTGCTTGCTCCCTCACGAGAACCTGATTTCGACTTGTTCGGAGTGGGTTTTTCAGAGCTTCCAGCCATATGGTGTTGATCACTTCATTGAAATAAACTTTACTTTGTGAGAACCAAGCTTATCAGAATTGTTTTTGTAGACTCAAAGGAGGATATTATCCGCAAAGCAGACCCATCACAGGGGCGGTTTGTTAGTTATGACGAATGGGGACATATGTCGCCTAGGAGGAGAAAGTAGACGTTACCGGCAGCGCCCTCTCCTTCAGTAATTCAAACGCGATGTCATAACATATGTCATAATGTATGTCATATATTTATGTCATAATCACTGGAGCATCTCAAGTTAAACTCTAATACGTACGACCCATTTGACGCCATTATGATGGACGAGTTGGGTGTTGCTATCATGACCAATCATCATTGTTGATGTGCCAGACGGGTACCTTGTCCGGACAACATGCAATCACGCCCATACTGAGTGTTAAGTTCCTTGGGATGCTAGAAATGACCTCTAGGGTTATAAAGATTATTACGAGACTAGCTTGCATACCCGGCTACGCTCGGCTGTTTCAGAGTAGTCAATGGTACTTTGTTTTAAGATAATTT